TATCCCCCCCACCTGGGTCCCTGTGGCTGACTCTTCCTCTGTCTGGCTTCCTGTCTTTTAATCCCCTTTCTCCTGCTCTTCTGGCCTGCTTCTTTGGGCGTCCCTGAGTTTCCCCAGTATTTTTGAGAATACCACCAGCAAATTATACAGTGTAACACTGTATGTAGTACATACTACTAATAAATAAGATGTACCAAAAAAACATGGCCTTAAGTGCAGTTCGTCATAACTCAAGGACTACCTTACTATGCAGCAGTGAAAATAAAACTATGCTGCTTACTCCATTTAGATAAAATATAAAAAACAGGCAAAAGAATTTGATAAAAGTCTAAAAAGGTTATTTTGAGAGAAGAGTTATGACTGGAATAGAGTACAGGGAGATGTCTGGGTTATTGGTAATATTGTTTCTTGATCTTGGTGCTGATTATAAGGCTATGTTCTTTGTAAAAATCCAAATTGTACAATTATGATTTATATTCTTTTCTGAACATACATTTTAGTAAAGAAAAAAAAATGTTTACTTAAAAAGTGGTTCTGTGGCCTACTCTTCACTGTTTAATTTAAACATGATAGAACTGCTTATCCAGCTTCTGGCAAGTGAGAAAGAAGTAGGGAAGACACGCAGGTGCTAGACTTAGGAGAAAGGTAGTCTGGAATCAGGTAAGGTGATTGCAACACCGGATGGCAGCAGAAGGGTATGTGGGAGAAAAAGGTGCACATTATACTCATCATCCAAAGAAAAGGGCCAGCTCTTTGTTTCCCTACTGAAACCTCTTCAGTTTATCTTAGGAGTTGAGAACCACAGCATTTCCTTAGTTTTAAAGGCCCACTATCCAGGTCAAAGGGCAGGGCTGGCATGCTATTTTAGGCATTAAAATTGGCAAATGCCAAGCTATAAAAGGTACAAAAGTCTGGCATTTACCAGTTTAATCTTAGAATAGCATCCACTTCAAATAAGAACTGAGTATATAGAAACTTAAAGTTTTAAAAGTGAAGGCTTTCAGTTTCATAGTAAGACTTCTTGAGAAAGGATTCACAGATGCAGAGACAGGTTTATAGTAACACTGAAAACTAGTCACAGAGCTTAAAAGGTGAGAACTTCTATCCAGAGTGTTGCCTGGATGCAGCCTGGGTTCTCGAGTCTTAGAATGGAAGTTTCCCATTCTCATACAATCACAGAGTTTGCTCCTATGGGACTGCCAGGTCTATAGTTAAAAACTTTTTGACACAACACACACAGAACATTTGTCCATCATTAGGTTTGCTACCACTGCAGATAAAAGCTGTTATACTGACAAGGCTCTGTATACATCAAGTTTCTTTCAAGAGAAGAAAAACCCAACTCAGATTTTATTAAGCATACAAACAAAAGTGGAATTTATTGGTTACTGGAATTAGAAAACCCACATGGCATTCTAGCTTCAGATATAGTTTAAGGTAGTTGGGTCAAACAATGTCTTCAAGGTTTGGTTGCTCTGCAACTCTCAGATCTCTCTTTTGCTGTGCTGACTTCATTCTTCATTGAGCTCCTCTCAGCTCAAGTCCAATGAATAAACAAGAGTTTTCATTCCATTTAGCTCTTGCCAAGTCCTAGGACTCATGCTAAACTAGACCATCTTACTTACTGACAACAGAACCAGTAACTGTGCCCAGGTCGAAAGAAAAAATAGTAACTTGCAGGTGAACCAGACCTGTGTTCCACATTCCACTCCTAATGAGAAGATGGAGTCCAAAAGGAAATTTAGTACAGGTGAGCCTTGAACAACACAAGTTTGAACTGTGCAGGTCCATTTATATGTGTATATTTTCCAAGACACAAATCTTAGAGAAATTCAAGAGCTAAGAAACACCACACCAGAGGAATTAACCTAAGATGGCCTGATGGAGATGAGTGTTTCTGAAGCAGTGCCAGGCAATGAGGAAGAAGGTGTAGTCAAGCAGCGCCAAAAAACAAATTGACATTAGACAATCTGGCAGAAGTGTTCTGATTATTCAAGACTGCTTTTGGCTCTTTTATGACATGAACCCTTGTATGATATGGGCACTGAAACTAGAGGAAATGGTAGAAGAAGGTACCATATAGGAACATTTTTAGAGAAATGAAAAAGCGAAAAAGTCAGACAGAAATGACAATGTAGCTCTGTAAAGTTACACTGCATGTGCCTGCCTCCCCTTCTACCTCTTCTGCCACCCCTGAGACAGCACAGACCAATGACTCCTCTTCCTCCTCCTACTCAACGTGAAGATGATGAGGGTGAGTACCTTTATGATGGCTTCACTTCCACTTACTGAATAGTGAATAATCATCAAGGGACACAGTTAATAAACTTATCTGTTATGGAAATAATCATTCTTTGAATGTTACCAGGGGTGGTAACTATATGTATCTGAAGGGTAGACATATATTAGGTAAAGGGAAAGGCAATATACAGTAAGGGGGACATTAACACAAAATGATCAAGGCAGTGGAAGACAGTGGGAGGAACACAAGAGTTAAAGTCAACAAAGGTGAATACTATTACAAACATAATCCTGCAATAACAATAATCTATGAGATAGGCACTCAAGCTGAACAGAGGTGGGAAGGCAAATGGGATTACACCCACCACAAATACGTATGTTTGACAGAAGATTATCTCTACCTATGTATTTATATGGGCTATAAATATATCCATGAATGTAGTAGAGCATACAGGGGGGAAAGTTATGAAAACTTCTTAGTCATAACCAAACACCTTGAGAGAATGAGTTGCTGGGCACAGAAGCTGAAGACCATGGTCTCAGAGGACACTAAGGTTAACTGGCATAACATAGTCCACAAAGACAATGCTCTATATCCTACTTTGGTAAGTGGTGAGTAGAGTCTAAAAAGCTTAGGAGCAGCCTTTAAGGTGCAACTACTAGTCTCTTCCCATCCAGAGCAAAGAAGAGTGAAGAAAATGAAAGACGCAAGGACTAATGGAGCACGTGAACCCCAGCCTCCATGACCTTGAGACCAGAACAAGATGGTACCCAACTACTGTTGCTGACTGCTCCGAAAGGGATAACAACAGGAAGTCCCAGATAGAGAGGGAGAAAAATGTGGAAAAACCACAAAATGATAAAATACCAGACTTACTAGTCAGATGAAGTCTGGTGGAACCCCTGAGATTATAGCCCCTGGACACACTTCAGGCCAGAAACGGAACTCAACCCCCACGGCTCAACTTTTAGTCAATCGCTAGACATGCCTATAAAGTGAGAAGTATATGTATTCATCACAACAATCAACCATAGAGATCAAGAGGGTAGCATGTGCCCAGGGACAGAGCTAGGAAGGCAGAAGCGGAAGGGAAGGACAAAGGGAAAGAGTGGGTGTGAGGAAGAAGTGGGAAGAATGCTGTTGCACTGTGGGATTGCAGTGAATGTCACAAAACGGAATGTGTATAGATGGTTGAATAGAAAACCAATTTGCTCTAAAATTTCACTCAAATCACAAACACACACACACATACAATTATCTGGTGTGTGTGTTTCTGTGAAAAACTAATAACTGTATGGCAAGAACTGTGTTAACCAACTGTTTATCAGTACTGTTTATCAGTAAGGCTACTGGTCAACAGTAGGCTATTCATACTAAATGTATGGGAAGTCAAAAGTTATATGAAGATTTTCAACTATGCAGGTCAGCACCCCTAACTCCCACATTGTTCAAGAGTCAACTGCATAGACTATTACCAATAAAAGGGGGTAAAAAATTCTGGGAGGCCAAAGTGACAAATGTCCAGCACAGGCTTTTCTCCAGGCTGGACATGCTCAAAATGACCTAGCCGGGAAGAAATCCTGAAGGTTTTCTCATACGTGCTACACTCATAGGGTTTTTCTCCAGTGTGAATTTTCTGATGCTGCAGAAGATCTCTTTTGCTGGTGAAGTCTTTTCCACACTTGTCACATATACAGGAAGACTCCTGAATATGGATTCTGAGATGCCTTTTCAACTGTTCCTTAGCACTAAAGGCTTTTCCACAATCTACACACTCAAAGGGCTTCTCCTCACTGTGGATTCTCTGATGCCGAGTCAGTTTTGTATGAAAATTGAAGGCCTGGCCACATACTTTACAAGAATAAGGCTTTTCCCCTGTGTGAATACGCTGATGCTGACTAAGATGGGAAGTCCTTCCAAAGCTTTTGCCACACTCATTACACTCATACGGTTTCTCTCCAGTATGAATTTTCTGATGCCGAATTAGTGGTGAATTGCCAACAAAAGCTTTCCCACACTCGTTACACTCATAGGGTTTCTCCCCAGTGTGGATTCTCTGATGAATAACAAATTCAGAACTACTGGTGAAACTACTGCCACACTCTTCACAGTGATAGGGTCTGTCCCCACTGTGGATTCGCTGATGTCTGATCAGATTTGCATTATCATTAAAAGCTCTCCCACACTCCTCACACTGATAGGGTCTCTCTCCAGTGTGGATTCTCTGATGACGAATAAGTGAAGAATTGCCATTAAAGGCTTTTCCACACTTAATACATTCAAAGGGTTTCTCGCCAGTGTGGACCCTCTGGTGTCTAACATAGTAAGAAAAATAGCTGAAGCATTTCCCACACTCCTCACATCTGAAGGGTTTCCTTGTATAGTGAATTTTTTCAAGCTTGCCTCTAATATTTTTCACTGTGGGGGTCTTCTGTTGCTTCTCCACTTCACCTTTTTCTGGGAAGTCAGTTCCCTGGGGAACATGCTTCTGCAGCCCACATGGTTTCATCTTGTCTCCCTCTCCAGAGATTCTCAGTGTGGATGCAGATGTATTGTCAATGTTGGTCTCAGCATCTGACACAAGAAACAGAAAACAGAAATGTCACTGAAGAATTACTCTAAAAACAATAGAGCATCAAAAACTATAGGGCCTTTAGAGATCACATTCTAACCTCCACATCAGCTTGCTAGGAAGATGAGGGTGTTAAAATAAAAGTGCCAATATCACTCCTGAAGAAAATGGTAAAGTTGAAGCAGGGTTTCGGGTTTTGACAGTACATTTTCCAGTGTACACAGGACACCTGATTGCTTCCTAAGTGTCACTGAACATCAAGGACACTAGGTTATGACAAGGCAGAGAGAAAAGAAAAACACAGAGGGGCTTACAGGACATCACCACTAATATGCTCTGTTATCATCTAGTCCACATGTTCTTTACTGCAGGAAAGTGGCAAGATGATTGTGATGAAGGTCACTTCTCCTGCTCCACATTCTGTTTTGCCTGCTCTCCCATTTCCAGTTCCCATGCAGTGACTTCTGAAGGACAGAGCTCTTCAACAAACTCTGAGTCCTAGAATTTCCTCATGAGGCGGGGTGGGTAAGATGCACCAACTACAGTATCTATACCATTAGCTAAGGAAGGAGGCTCCAGGGTATGCCCTGCAGACTCTATCACCTCCATATCCTAGGAAGTAGAAAAGTGAAAGCCCTGCTTAAGCTTCTAATTCTAACTTCTTGCTCCTGCACGGCTTACTGGAAAAGACAGAGAAGAATGCTTGCAGGTGGACTCCACAATACCTGCTTTTAAATACACTGTCCAGTGGTTCTCCTGCAAAGCCCTTCACAACGATGTATTGGATCTTCTGGTCCCTTTCTCAGGGAAGACTAGTCTCCTTTTTTGTCCCCATCTGAAACCACTGCAAACTTTTAAACTGGAGCCTTCTCCATTGGAATCACTAGAACCCCTGCTTCTGCTGTGTTCCCACAGCCTGGTGCTCACACACCAGGAACAGCACTTAGCATGCTCTCTCTTTTGTAGGTCTTTCCAGCTATCTCCATGGCTAATATTCTCCAGAGCTGCTGCTTTTTATTTATTTATTATGGTGAAAATATATGCAACAAAACATATGCCAACTAAAAAATTTCTATATGCAGAATTCAGCAACACTGATGACATTCTTCAAGTTATCCAACTATTCTCATTGATTCTTCTCCAAATTAGTCTTATCATCAACACAAACTCTTTGCCGTCTAAGCAAAAATTCCCGGTTTCTCCCTCCTCCCAATAACCACTGATACTTTGGTTTCTATTTTTTGCTTTTTTTGATGTAAATGAAGTCATAGTTTTTATTTTTTATGACTGACTTATTTTGCTCAGCATGTTTTCATGGTTTATCCATATTGCGGCATGCGTCTGTATTTCATTTCTCTTTCTAGCTGAGTAATGTTTCAGTGTATGTATATATCACATTTTGTTTATCCATTTATCTGTTAATGGGTACTTCAGTTGATTCTCTCTTTTGGCTATTGTGAAAAGTTCTACAATCAACACTGGTGTACAGTTTTCTCTCCAAAGCTGCTTAAACAAAGCTTGGTACATGAAAATGCTTAAAAACTACTTCTAAATACATCTATCTTATGCAAGGAAGGAGAGACACTAGTGTAATGTTGACATTCAGAAAGGGCAACTGTATATAAGGTACATTAGTGGTAACAGGTTGGTGAGAGTTAAGCTTTGTGGGAAAGGTTTCAAATTTTACCTATTAGCAGAAATCATCTATTTTATTCACATCCTGCCCAGAATCAATCATTCCAAATACACTGCTCTGTAAAACTCTATGGTTGCTGGTTCTAAACCTGCCTTGCTTACCTTTACAGATGTCTTTGGTCCTCTCTGCAGGTGGATCATCTTGTGTTTCCAGGCCCCAAAGCAAACCCTCTCCCTCCAGAAGTGAGATCAGAGAAGGTTTGGGAACTAAGTATCCTGAAAAAGGGAAGAAAATGGCATCTTTCAGCCTTGTGTTTGCTGTGTCAAGAAGGAAAACCCAAAAATCTCAGTAAGAATAAGACCCACAAAACAGGGCTCAGGACCAGAACGACCAAAGAGATTTAGATCAAGAGGAAGTTGAACACCTGTGATCTCTTCCTTGAAAAGCCACTTAAGAGCAGGTAAGTTGGTGAAATCCTGCAAGGTATGTGCAAACCCAGGGAAGAGTCACACCCTTCTCCAGACAATGAAGAGAGTAGCAACAAGCTAAGAACTGGACTTTGGCAAAAGAAACACATGCAGAGTCTCTTGGAGGATGCTCTTATCAGGGAATAGCAATTCCCTACATTGGGGTCAAACTCCCTACCAAGCAACCTCTGAGGCTGGCCATTTAGTCTTAGCCTTCATTCAGTGGAGGATAACAGAGAAAGAGACCCCTTCTGCTCCCCACCACAACCCAGTCTATAAGGAAAATAAGAAAGAAAATCAGAAAGTATAGATCCAAATTCCAGAAGGAAAATGCCTTACCTAGGGAAGTAAAGTTCCCATAATTCTCCAGCTTCACATTTCTATAAAGAGCTCTCTGTGCAGGAGAAAGCCCTGCCCATTCTGTCCGAGTGAAGTACACAGCCACGTCCTCGAAGGTCACCACCTCCTAAAACAACAAGTTCCTGCTGCCCTAGAGCCAATCCTCTGGCTCAGGGCCAGAGGGGACAATATGAGAGCTTCAAAGAGGGGCCCTATGAGGTATGTTGTTGTTGTTGTTATGTGCCGTCGAGTCGGCCCCGACTCATAGCGACCCCTCCTTGGGTTTCCAAGGCAGTATCACTACGGAAGTAGGATTGCCCAACCTTCCTTCCGAGGAGTGGCTGGTGGGTTTGAACCGCCAGCCATCTGGTTAGCAGGCAAGTGTCTTAGCCACTATGCTACCAGAGCTCCTCCTATGAGGTATGGGGGACCATAAAAAAAAAAAAGGAAGGGGACCATAAAATGATTATTTCTACAACCAAAAACCTGGAATTTCTCTCACTACCATGTGATTTACTGTTATAAAGAGTAACATTTTGAAAATCCTGGGGAAAGTCTCCCATGAACTCACCTTCCTAAAGCAAATTCTCTTTGATTTTGTAAATGCACTTTCAGTCTTTCATTATCTCACCTACAAGTGAACAATTAGCTGTAACCTGTTCAGACACCCAGTCACAGATGGCATGTCAGGACCCATCTGTTTCTACTTCACTGCCGTAAAGCTCGTGGCCGCCTAACGTGAACAAAGCTCTGGAGTGTCCAGATAAGCCTGTTTCATGTAAGCCCCACCCACAGCTGAATAAGGAGCTGAGTGCCTTTGCTCAAGAACCTACACTAGTGGTGGGACTGTAAAATGATGCAACCACTGTGGTAACAGTATGGTGATTCCTTAACAAGTTAGAATTAGAAATACCATTTGATCCAGCAATCCATTACTAGGTATGTATCCTAAAGAAGTGAGAGCCAGGGCAAAAACAGATATATGCACACCCATGTTCATCACAGTAGGAAGGAGATGGAAACAACCTAGACGCCCATCGACAGAAGGGACAACTAAACTATAGTAAACCAAAAACCAAAGTCACTGCCATCAAGTCAGAGTCAACTCATACCTATCCCTCCTTGGGTTTCCAAGGCGGTATTCTGTACATACACACAATAAAATACTAAGCAATCTTAAAGAATAATGTAGAATCTGCAAAACACTGCATAATGTGGATGAACTTGGAGGATATTATGGTGAGTGAAATAAGTCAGTCACAGAAGGACAAACACTGTATTGGTTCATTACTGTAAAAAGTCAAGAAAAGCCTCATATATGGAACAAAACTCTCTTTGTTGGTTATTGGGGACGGGAGGGGAGGGGAAGGAACACTGCTAGATAGGTAGAGACAAGTATTGATTTGGGTGAAGAGAAGGGCAATGTACCAAATGTGAGTGAACATCATGGTGGCACTGAGTAAGAGTAAGACAGAGAGAGGTACGTGGAAAGTACAGACAACAAAGATGAACCCTTTTGCATATACAGTACTGCATTGTCAGTGATGGCAAGCATTGACCTATTGGTGGATAGATGGGTGGACAGGCTGAACCATCAAGAATATCAGGTATGTCTAGGCAGCGACTAGTTTAGGGTTGGCAGACAATGTTTCTGTAAACATATTTGTATGTCCTATAAAAACGTCCAGATGTATAGTAGAGCTGACAGGGGACAGGGTTGTGCTGACTTCTTGGCCACAGCCAGCTACCCAGAGCAAGTGAGTAGTTGGACCTGTGAGCTTGGGATCATGGTCACAGGGAACATTAAGCTCAATTGGCATAACATACTATACAAAAACATTGTTCTACATCCTACTTTGGTGAGCAGTGACTGGGATCTTAAAAGCTTGCAAGCAGCCATCTACATGCAATGATGAGTCTCTCTTTGTCCAACAAAAAAGAATGAAGAAAACCAGAGAGATTCATGTAAACAATTAATCCTAGCGACTGGTACACCATGTGATCCACAGCCTATATAACTATGAGACCAGAAGAGCTAGATGGTGCCTGGCTACCACTGTCAACCACTCAGAGGGCGATCTACATAGGAGATCCTGGATAGAGTGGGAGAATAATGTGGGACAAAACTCAAAATCATAACAACAACAAAAAAAACAGGGACCAAATTTGTTGGTCTGATAGAGCCTAGTGAAACCACTGAGACTATGGCCCCTAGCTGTCCTTCAGGTCTGGAACTGAACCCATTCCTGTGCCTTCCAGCTAAACAAAAGACAGGCATATGATCTGAACATTTACCTTAGGTAGATACACCCCTTGGGGAGATCAATCATGGGACAATAGAAGGGCTGTTTATGCACAGGAAGACAGCTCAGGGGGGCAGGAGTGCACGGGAGGGAAGTACCTAGCGAAGAGGTGACTATGGGGAGGAAGTAGGAAGAGAGCTGTTGCACTGTGGGAAATTTCAGTCAGTGTTATGACACAAAGTGTGTGAACTGTTGTATGGAAAATGAATTTGCTCTGTAAACTTTCACTCAAATCACAATTTAAAAAAAAAAGCTTACAAGTGTCCATCTAGATGCCATGATAGGTCTCGCCTTGTCCAGAGCAAAGAATGAAGAACATGAAAGACACATGGAAACAGTCCAAGGGATTAGCAAACCATGCGATCTGCAGTCTATATGGCCATGAGACCAAAAGAATTAGATAGTGCCTGGCTACTGCTGTCAGCCAGTCAGAGGGGGATTGGTGTAGGAGATCCTGGATAGAGTGGGAAAACAATGTGCAACAAAATTCAAAATCATAAAAGACCAGGTTTGCTGGTCTGATAGAACCTGGTGAGACTCCTGAGATTATGGCCCCTGGCTACCCTTCAGGTCTGGAATTGAACTTATTCTGTAGCTTCCAGCCAAATAATACACAGGCCTATGGGCTGAACATTTACCTGAGGTAGACACACTCCTTGGGGAGATCAATCATGGGAGAACTGAAGGGCAGTGTTTGCACAGGGAGACAGCTGTGGGGGGTGGGGGGGTAGTGCATGGGAAGGAAAGACACAGGGAAGAACTAACTACAGGGAAGAAGTGGGAAGAGAACTGTTGCATTGTGGGGTATTGTAGTCAATGTCATGAGACAAAATGTGTATGAACTGCTGTATGGAAAATGAATTTGCTCTGTAAATTTTCACCCAAATTATGATTTAAAAAAAAAAAGACCCTCCAGAAGAGAGAGCTCAGTGCCACCTGGGGCAGTCCATTTTTTTTTTTTTTTT